GAGGGGACTCTTAGAACATTTGGACATTTTCAAGTCTGCTGTGCCAGCTAACCTGCATCTGAGAGTTGTGAAAGAACTGGCCTCGTAGCAGGGCCTTTTGTGAAGCTGTTTGAAGAGTCGTGGAACTCAGGAGTGGTCCTGAATAACTGGAAGAGAGCTAACGTGGTACCTGTCTTTAAGAAAGGGAAGACAGATGACCCTGCAAACTATAAACCGGTCAGTCTGACTTCGATAATGGAAAAAATCTTTGAAAAAATTGTTAAGGAGGCCGTCAGTTACAAGCTTGTAACTGGTGGGGTATTAAGAAGCAACTGGCATGGCTTTGTCGAAGACAGGTCATGCCTAACAAACCTAGTGTCCTTTTATAACCAGGTAACTAACCAGCTGGGCAAGGGACATGAGGTTGACATCATTAACTTAGACTTTAGTAAAGCCTTTGATTCTGTTTTCCATGAGATTCTCTCAATTAAACTGGAGGGTGCTGGCCTTGACCAGTCTACAGTGAGGTGGGTAGACAACTGGCTCAGAGGCCGATCCCAGAGAGTTGTAAGAAGTGGGATGGCCTCATCTTGGATGGCCCTCTCCAGTGGTGTCCCCCAGGGATCAGTGCTTGGGCCCATGCTCTTTAACATCTTTATCAATGACTTGGATGAGGGAGTAGAAAGTGCAATGATTAAGTTTGTGGATGACACCAAGCTGTGGGGAAATATAGGCACATCAGAAGAATAGGGTAAGGATCCAGGATGACCTTGACAGACTGGTCCTATGGGCTGAATGGAATCAGACGAGGTTCAATAGGGAAAAGTGCCAGGTCCTTCATCTGGGTAGGAAGAACCTTCATAACTATATGATGGGTGGTGGTCCACCGGCAGGAACTTCATCTGAACGGGACCTGGAGGTGATAATCGGCCAGAAGATGAACATGAGTCAACAGTGCGATGATGTTTCCAGCATGGTAAATAGAATTCTGGTGTGCATCAGCCGGTGTGTTGCCAGTAGATCCAAAGAGGTGCTCCTTCCCCTCTATTCGGCATTGGTGAGGCCACAGCTGGTGTACTGTGTCCAGTTCTGGGCATTGCACTTCAGGAAGGATGTAGATAAGCTTGAGGGGGTTCAGAGAAGGGCCACCCATATGATTAGGGGCCTGGAGGATAGGCTGTATAAGGAGAGACCTTCAGGAACTGGGTCTGTTCAGTCTGAGGAAGAGAAGGGTGAGAGGTGACTTGATTGCTGCCTACAACTATGTCAGGGGTGAACACCAAGATGTAGGGGAGCAACTCTTCAGGAAGGCACCCCTTGGGAGGATGAGGACCAATGGGCACAAGATAGTTCAGGAAAAATTTAGGCTGGACATAAAAAATAACAACTTCTTTTTCCATAAGGGTAACTAGAATCTGGAACACACTCCCAATAGAGATGGTGCAGTCACCATCCTTGGAGGTGTTCAGCAGCGGGATGGACAAGCACTTTGTTGAGCTCATTTGAGCCCAGTAACCTCCAGGGGACTGGACTTGATAATCTTACAGGTCCCTTATGGTCCCTTGATTCTATCCGAGCATGCTTTCCAGCCCTGGGTTGGGTTGTGTTGTCTCCTTCAGAGAGCAGGGCTGGCCATGCCCATCTGCTCCCTAGCTGGAGCAGTGAGGGCTGACTGATGTGGGGATTTGGAGGGGGGGGGAAGCCCGGGTGAGGATGCTGCCCAGTCTGTGTGTGGGGAGGGAAGACTGCCCCCTACCAGGAAAAACCTGGCTTCAGTCTGGGAACAGGGAGGGGGGTTAAACACCTGTTCCCCAGCTCAAAGCCACTGCTGGCTGTGACTGTGGACTACAAATCCCAGAAGCACCTGGAAGCAGGAAGAGGAAGTGATGAGCAACCCTGCAGAGTCCTGCTGCTTTAATTCTGGACTACAAATCCCAGAGACCTTGGGGGCATCAGGAAGAGGAAGTGAACACACAGCCAGAGAGCCATGCTCTTGTGCCCCCTGGCTTCTGGCCTGAGCCACTGCAGGCATGTGGGTGCATTTCCTGAATCAAAGGTAAATGTCTGTTCACTTCTGTTTCAATTTAATATGTGCATCTTAGACTAACCTGCAAAGACTGCAAAGCCTGAGGCTGAATTGATTCAGCCTTGGGCTTTTTGACTGTCTGTACTTAGCCCAAAACTGTAGTAGTAGTAGTGGTAGTATTATTATTATTATTATTAGTAGTAGTAGTAGTAGTAATAATAGTAATAAAAATCAACTTAAATGTGGAATTTTGGAACAGGAATTCTCCATGCGCAGGATTGTAGTAACTAGAGTCTCGGTAGATTCTGAAGTTTTATCCCATTACCTGGGTTAGTTTTTATAATAGTTATGTCCCTCGAGAGGTTAACTGCTTTGTTTATTCAGTCTGATCTTTTTAAAACACTTTTACTGCTCAGTAGTGTCCCAACCCTATATCTCCCCCCCCTTTCCCTATCCATTACATTTAAATGACTTTATTCCTTTCTGTTTTATATCACTTCTCAGAAGTCCATTTATAATATCTGATGATACAGGCTACCACCTATGGACATTTGCTTTTCTGAACAAGTTAGTCTCTAAGGTGCCACCCCACCTGCCTTCTGCATTGGGATGAGAAAGGGATTCTTTTTCTTACCTCTTCCCTCTTACCTCCCTAAAATGTACATGTTTTGGCCAAGTTTGCCGACGAAACCAAACTTTGGGGTAAAGCGTCCACACCTGAGGACAGGAGGGCAATCTAGGTTGACCTTGACAGGCTCAGGAAATGGGCAGATGAGAATCTGATGGCATTTAACACTGAAAAATGCAAAGTTCTCCACCTTGGGAGGAAAAACCTTCAGCATGTTTATAGGGTTGGCAGTGCTACGCTGACTAGCGCTTCGGACAAAAGGGACTTGGGGGTCATAATGGACCACAAGATGAACACAAGCCTTCAATGTGATGCTGCAGCTAGTAAAGCAAGCAAAATGCTGGCTTGCATTCATAGATGGGATGGATGGGATGGGAGCTAGTTGCTAACTTCTTTTTCCCCACTACTGTCACATGCCGCTGGAAAACACAGTTGTTAGGATTTTAACTGAAAAACGGGAAGTTCAGATGCTCAGATACTTGTTTTTAAAAGTGAGTGCACGCATGTGCACATATAGCACTGTTACCAGAAATCTAGCTTGGTGGAAAACTCACTTTAAAGGCTGAAACCTAAGGACTGAAGCATGTGAGTGAACTTGCATGTGTGCTTCCAATGTCAAAATTATGTTCCAAAGTTCTAAAATAACAGAAGCAAAATTATTACATATTTTTATTGTGGGTTTCTGGCAAAATGGTTGTGCCCTGCATGACTCAACATCTGTACCAGAAAGGAAATAATTTGTGGCCCAGATCCCAAGACCTGGACTCTTCAGTGAAAAGATTGTAAACAAATTATTAATAACAATAGCTTGTTTTGCACACGTGCAGCTTGAAACAAGTCTTTGAGAAATACAAGTTTCAAGGTGTTTGTAATTTTAAAATAAGTTAAAATGTTAGTTATCAGGGATTTAATATTTTTTGTGAGCATTAAATAATACTTTTTAAAAGCATTTCAGGCATCTCTGTGGAGGTAAAACACTATTTAAATAACATTCTAAATAGTTTCTCTACTAATAGTCCTATTACTACACATGAGGCAACTGTTGTTTTTATAATAAACTCGTATTTTAGTGGACAGAACTAGTCTTATTCCTTTCCATCAAAGTTAGAGGTATGGGCAGTGAGAAATGGGACACACTGAGATTTGGATTTAGGAAACACAGCTCAACCCTAGTATCAGCTCCTGCCAAATTAGGGTCCAAGAGTTGCAGAGAAGACTGTGGGGTAAAGGCATGTTTTGGGCTGGAGGAAGGGAAAAGTCCTGCCAGGATTTCCAAAATGAGGATAACTAGCCAATAACGAAGACTGCTTGCTCTTGTCGTCATGCTTCCTTTTTTAGGATATAGGAGCAAATGTCTGATCACAAACTAGATGCTAAATGGTGCTAGATGAACTGTGGTTGTCATAATACAAACACTCAGGAAGAACAGCTTGTCTTCTCAGAGGGTTTTGCAACCAGAACCAAAAATAAATCAGTTGTACTCTGCCGGATCCCGTGGGACAGTCCTTTAAAACGTAACAGGTTTTGTATGGTGGATGAGTAACTGATCAGCAGAGACTTTTGTCTGGTGAGCTTGTAGAAAAAAAAGAAGTGTTAGGAGGGACTGGAATGGAGTTGGCTACTTTTTTCTTGAGGGTGAAAGAGCATTAAAAACAGCATACAGATGAGAAGTGTGTAGGTGAATAAGTTACTTTCTGTAATGCCTCTTCTAGTTCATTTACTTTACTAAGATGATGATTTTTATTTGCAAAATTCATTCCCTGTACTCATCACCCCCAAACAGTGTCCAGTGTTAGTGCCTTAAAACTGGATTGAGTCCAGTGAATTAAATGCCCCTTTCTTTTATCAGTCTATGCCAAGAAATCTTAACTTTTTGCATTATGAGAATTATTTGTAATCTTTTTCTGTGCATCTATGCACTGGAGTTCTAATCTTCGTATTTATTTTAGTTCAGAGAAGCAGTTTAAACACATTGTTTGCACAATGAAAAGGGTGTTTGAAACAAAAGTCAGTTGGGAAAGTAAGTACCAACTTGGAGGGAGGCTACTCATTTTATCATTAACCTTGAGGTTGCTGTATTTTGAATGTGGCTGTGGATTTAACATTAGATTAAAGCTAAGGCACTAGATGGAAACAATTTACTGTGTTTCCCTGTACTTTTTCTGCAGCAGTTTGAAGGTTATGTAATTTGATTTCCTTGTTTTTCTGTTAATAGAAATGAAATCTCTGTGCACTTTCTTAAACTCGCACACTAGGTTGCATGCTTGCTCTGCCTCATACAAAACAGACAGCCTTCAAAGAGGTGGGGCATATCCTATGCTATGCTTTTTAACTCTACGTTTCCAGTACATACCAAGCATCTGATTAGAACTTCTTGATGGTCTACAAAGCTTATCAATGAGTCTGTTACCATCTTGACACCGATTCCTTGTAAATGCAGCAGCATTCAAATGAGTTTAGTATCAGAATACATGAAAACCATGTCATCTGATTCAGGTAAGCCTGTGGGGTGCCTGTATTTTTTTTTTCTTTCCCCTGTTAATTGGTTCCTTTCCTAATCTGAGCTCCTCCTGCCTTTGAATTTGTAATCACGTTTTAGTCCAAAGCTAAGTGAAGAGTTAAGCTTTGTATCTGGTGCCTTAGAAACCTAAACACATTATAAATTCAGCTGCTTGATTGTGTAATACAACTGGAATGTGGTGGTGTTTTGTTTTGCTCCTGTGCTGACTAAATTTTGTAGTTTCTTGAACTGTTTGACTAACCAGTCAAGCATATAAAAGTATTGTGTTACATTGGGCTCATTTTCCCTTTGCTTTCATCTGCTCAAAACTTTTTCTTTAACCATTGAGTTTGTAGACAGATATTAAAAGTGCTTTCCATTTCCGGTTTGACAGCAAGCTGGCAGCAAGTACTCTATTTACATTTTTTAAATTCTTAGGGTATATTGATATAAATCAGTTCTGAATCTGAAAACCTCTCTTCTGTGTAACTTAAGAAATAGGTATGCAGTCTTTACTTTGGGATCTTTTTTGCTAAGTATTTCTTTGGTCTTCCAGTGATTAACTTTTACTCGCGCTATACTTATTCATGTGCAAAATTATTTTTATTTGCATAATTATGCTTTATTTTATTGCATCATTCACTTATAGTGTTTTCAGTTTATGAAGAACATTTTCTAACTTGCTTTGCACAAAGTAGTAGTGTTTAAGGAACTTAGCTGTATTTTTTTTACAATCTTTAGAATTGCTCAGCTGTATAGAACATTAAATTAAAATCTTTGTCAATCATAAGAGCGCAATGTAATATAACATTTAAAATGAAATTTTAATCCAAAAATGAGACACCAAGGAGATCTGATAGGTGTTTGTAACATCACCTTCTGGCTCTTCCAAAAAGCCTACTGCCACTAGAAAGGAGAGAGGAAAACAGAGAACTGAGTGTGTGCTAGACAGGTTGGGGATTTGATAAGTCCGCTGGGAAAGGTTGCAGCAAATTTATCCAGCTAACTCTATGGTGAAGTACAGACAGTCAAAAAGCTCAAGGTTAAATTGATTAAATCTTTCCAGGTTAGTCATTGATTAAACTGATAAGCAAGTAAACAGACGTTCACTTTTGATTCTGGAAATGTAGCCACATGACTGCAATGGTCCAGGCCAGAAGCTGGGAGTGTGCTAGACCATGTCTCCCTGCTGGGCTGGAGCAGACAGCTTGGGCCAAGGCTATCCTGTCCACCCTGTGAGCAGGGGTTTGGCGGGGAGGTGAGTGAGGGTTTCCCTGTGGAGGACTGTGAGTTGACTTGAATCTGGAGAGGATCTGGGATAGAAGTTCATTAAACCAATTTAACCTAAATCAGTTAAGTCTGATAGTACATCCATCCAGGTTCATCTTAAACTGGCTTTGGCCATTTTGAAAGCAGTTTGTGCACTGACTGAACTTCTGTTACAGATTTGAACTGGTTTCCAATCATTTATGCTGGTGTATGGATAATTTCTGTCCCTAGCCTATAGGTGTCTCTTGCCTTAAGCCCAGCTCTCCTTATTTCAACACTTGCTGGTTTCCCCTTTTTACAGGCACGTCTTCTATGATCACTGAACAACCCCACCGGCTCAATCTTCATTTCATGATCCAGTTACAAAAGTCCCCTTGCCCACTTGTTTTAAACCTTTATTATCTCTTAACTCAGTGTGGTGTCCTGTCCTCTGCAGTCCTTGAGGCATATCTTTATGGCTCTCCTCCTGCCTTCAAGTCTGCTGCCAATAAAATAAGCTTAACTTGTTCACACTACCTGGGGCAGACCAGAGACTAGCATGTGGATGCTGAGGATGGCTGTGTTTAGACCTGAGAAATCCCCTTCCTTCTCCCTTACCATACCAGTCTGAAGGTCTCTCAAGGTAGAGAACCTGAGTGTAGTTTATGGGCCTGCATACGGAGCTGCTCTGAGCAGTTTGCTTTGCTGATCTACTAGTCCTAATGCCCAGTGAGAGCAAATGGGTGAGGCTTACTTTACAGGGGGTGGATCTGGGAGCAGCTTCTTTGCTGTTCCCAGATCTTCCCCCTGTAAAGTAAACCTCACCCATTTGCTCCCACTGGGCAAATAGTCACACATTTGATGTCTGGAACAATTTTCTAGTCTTCCTTCTACCCAAAATGTGTATCTTCTACCTAAACTGCATGTTTTTATTATTGCGAAGTTGGAAAATAACAAAGCACTAATCCATTTTCTCAGCAGCCTCTGAAAGCATCTGGTTCAGAAAGTTGTAAAAACACTGCTGCAGAAGGGAGGTGGGAAGCAATGTTCCCTCTAAAGAGCAGTGGTTCATGAGCGCGCCACCTTGGTCCGTGAGCGCATCGCCTCGGTCCGGTGTGGGACACTTACCGAAGAGGGCTGGGGTCGGGAGCCGGGGGCCAGTGGCTGGAGGCTGGGGTTGGGAGCCAGGGGCTAGGTGCTGGAGCTGGGGGCCAGGGGCTGGAGCCAGAGCCTGGTGCGGGCTCCCCAGCTCTGGGGAAGTGCTCCGCTCCCCCACATCAGGGCCGGGGAGTGGAACACTTCTCCAGAGCCCATGCCAGCCTCCATCCCTGCCTTGCCTTACCTCAGGGAGTAGCCACTCTCTGCCCCAGCGAGGCTCCGCCAGCTCTGGGATACTGCTCCGCTCCATGGCCCTGACGCCACGTGCCTCCTTGCTCCCCGAGGCGATGCGGGGGAGCGGAGCAGTGTCCCAGAGCCGGCAAAGCCTCGTTGGGGCAGGTAGTGACTTCTCCCTGAGGTGAGGCAAGGCAGGGATGGAAGCTGGAGTGGGGGGCTGGCGCGGGCTCCACCGGCTCTGGGGAAGTGCTCTACTCCCCGGCCCTGATGTGGGGGAGCGGAGCACTCCGTGCAATCACTGTATAAACTGGGTAGTAGAACCTGGAGTCCCCACAGGGAGATATCAATTTTCAACCTGAATAACATAACTAAGGCGGGGCAAGTGAGGGCACCAGCCCTAGGCACAGACTAGTGAGGGGGTGCCAGAGTTGCTCCCAAACACAGGACTTCTTGCCATAGCTTGCACTGTCCTGTCCTGTCCTGGCCCTGCTGAATCATAGGAGTAGGCAGGGTTGGCCCTTACCCAGCAGTGTACCTGGGGGGCAGGGCAGAATAGTGCTCTCCTCACAATCCTGGGGAGGCTGCCAGGGGAGGCACAGCCCTGTGGCCAGCAACAAATTTGGTGGGGGTGGAGAGCAACAACCTGGGTAGCAGGGATGGTTCTCAGGAAGCTTGGCCATGGGGCTACTGCTGTCCAAGCCAACATGGCTATAGCAGCAGTGGCATCAGCCTTCATTCTGCAGAGAGCAATGGCCACTAAAATCTTCCTTTTCTCTCCTCCCCTCCACATTGGTCTCCAATGGTCAGCATGCCCTGTCCCCCCATCCCAGGTACTGAAGGAGCTTGTTATGCCTCTGTTCAGTACCACTGCTTTCCCCTCGACCATGCCTTCACAAGAATAAGGGCTTGTGAGCTAGTTGAGATTCTATACAGCTGTGGTAAATGGATGCACAGGATCACTGAGGTCTTCAGTTGGCGGTTGTGGCTTCCATTTAAAAATGTGTTGCTTTTCTGGTCAGCTTCTCAAGGCTGCTGACGTGCTCCAGATAAGCAGAGAAGATGTGTGTTTTTAAGTAAAAGCCACAGCAAGCAGCTCTAAGGCTTAATCTTAATTTGGCAACCCAATGCAAATTAGGAGGGTTGTGAGTCACTCGGTCACAAGTGATCCAGGTATTACTGTATTACTATAGCACCCAAATCCAGGTAATATGGTATTAATAGAGCACCCAGATGCAGCCTCCAAAATATGTACTGCAATATTTCACAAAGTTTATAGGTTTAAATCTCACTGTATCAGGGTCAGCCACTTTCACACCCTCTTCTGGTCCCCACTTTCAGCAACTGCTGCTCCTTCCCTCACTGCTGTTTGCAGCCAGTTACTATCAATGATAAGATGCTAAGCTGACATAGTTTACTAGGTAACTATTTCTTTGTGAGAGAAGGACAAAGAATCTTTGATTATGACAGGTGAAGGGGTAGAGGTTATACATGGGGCGCACCGTTAGAGATTTTGGGGGCCAATGCCAATAGCTTATTTTTAAGTAGGCATATTGGCTGATACAGATCTGATTTCTGATACAGCTGCATGCAGCTGGTAAGTCACTGTTGTGGTGAGAAGGGGAGGTGGGATGGAAAGGGTGTGGGGGCGCAGATCAAGGCCCCATGATGAGGAAGGGAGTGGGGCTGGGGTAGGCGCTGCCCAGCAAGGGTAGGGCAGGGCATGGGATGGAGCTGCGGTTCATCTGGAGGGGTGTGGGGGGGAGCGGCTTCTGCTGCATGCACCCTGGGAGGGCAGAGGGAGGAGCATGTGCCCCCAGATTTGTGTGGGGTTTGGGCAGGGTGGGCTGGGGCTGGGCCAGGCTCTTCTCAGTGGGACCAGAGC